CGATGTGGACCATCGACTCGACCATCGAGTGCCAAACGGCACTAGAATCCACGTGGATTAGCAATCGATGTGTCGAGTCGATGTTTGGTGGATGTGTCCCCTCCCCCCATCCCCCAGCCATCCGCAGAGACACATCGTGGATAGAACTCCAATTCCGAGGATGCGCCCCGTCCCCTCGACGTGGATCCGACACGTGTGGCGCACGGTGGAGACATCCACGCCGATTCGACGCGACATCCAGCAAAACCCAGATGGGTCCGTCAGGGAAGAATGAACGCATTCCTCGGTAATCTACGTGGATACTCCATTGAATTGCACCATGGAACCATCCACTACTCATCCACGTCGATACGACGTGACTTTGCGCCAAACGCCTGTCCGCAAGGCAAGCCCGTAGGACGTACCGGCATGGCAGGCCTGCCTACCTACCGGGCGCCAAGCTGAGACAAGAGCCCTGCGCAGGCCGCTCTCGCACCGTGGAACCATCCACTACTCATCCGCGTCGATACGACGTGACTTCAAGCTAAACGCCTGTCGGCTAGGCAAGCCCGTGGGACGTACCGGCGTGGCAGGCCTGCCTACCTACCGGGCGCCAAGCTGAGTGCCGAGCCCTGGGCAGGCCGCTCTCGCACCGCGAGTGACTACAGCCGGGCCAATACCTCCAAACGGGCTTCCTCGTGCCGAAATTAAACAGGAGTTGCTTAAAATGAATGAATTGATTAGCAAGTATGTTAAAATATTACAATCCTCTTATCTGCACAGAAAATAAAGTTGTGTAAAAAGTTCCTGAATTGTTGCAATGTTTAAGGTTTTTACAATAAACAAGTTTAATTTAAAGTGCATTTAATTTAATAAATACTGAAGGCAGAGCACAATATGACATCTTTTTTTTCTAAATTTCTAAAAGAATAACAGGTACAATATGTAAAATAATTTGGACATAGGAAACAATATTGCCTAGTGCTGATCATCTCCCTCTCCCAGATCACTATCAACATTTTCCTGTTGAGTTTCATTCTTCTTTTTTTTCTTTTCTTCATTTTCGTTTCTCTTCTTGGCATCTTTAAGCCAGTCACTCACAGCATCTTTAAAGTCAGTAGAATTAAACTGATGCCTTGAGTCTGCTCCTCTTCCTAGCAACACCCTGCAGTGTTGTTTCACAGCCGCTGTAAAATAATTTAGTTAGAGGAAAGCAAGACAGATACTTAAAAAAATAAGTTTAAGAAGTGACTTTCTTACCTCTCAAAACAGTGCAAGGGGTGGTTTCAGCAAACTTTTTCTTCGCTACAGATGCTCCTCGGCGGTTAATGCCAGAATAGTTATAATTTTGAGCAAGTGTATTCGTCATAAGTTTCCTCATCATATTAAAGACACTTTCTCTGATGTCAGTCTTACCATGCTCACTTAGATGTTTTACCTGCAGAAAAAAAAACACATTAGGGTAAGAAAGTTGTCATTCTAAATTTAGACACTCACACTTTTGCTTGATTTAGTTTCACAAGCAAGTTGCCTCATGAGGAAACTAAACTCAGTCCTCGCACAGCTTGTATTGGCTCGTCAAACCTGGCTAGCCAATTTTGGTTGTAAGGACTGACCAAAGATACGTAATGGAGCAACTCACTCATGAAACTTAGCAACACAAACAGACATACTACTCACCATTCCCAGTTTACCGTCCTCTTTCTCACATAGAGAAGTGAAGTTCTCAAAGTCGGTTTCGGTCTGGAGTGGGAGGCCAGGAATCTTCTCAACATCTGAGGAACCATCATGAGGCCCACACGTGACAATATAGACTTTCAGCACCATCTTTTTTAGCTCCTGAATTTCACTTTTCAGTAGGGATAAGTGTGTCAGGATTCGGGTGTTGATTCCTGTGAACAAATAAACAATCACGTTCAAAGACCTGAGCACCTTACCACCTTACTTGCAAAGTTCAGTGGTTGCTCACTGAGACTCAAACAAAATTTTGAAACACTGCCTTAAAAGGAACTAAGTTAATATTTTGCTTCAAATTATAGCAATAGAAAAGAGTAAACTGAGATGCAATAGAAGCCGGACACAACTACATATAAGCTTACCAGCAGAACTGATGGGCTGACTGCTAGGTGTAACGCTTGAAGTCCCCAGGTTACTTCCAATAGAAGGAAGTTTTGGACTAGGCGGTTGGTTGTTGAGTTGTGGGGTTGTGGTCCTTTTCCCAGTAGGAGCATGAACTATAAAAAACAGTAAAGGCAAATGAAAACTAGTCATCACTACTGCAGGAAAATTAGGGGCACATTAATTACCATTCTGTTCACTCAATAGAGATGTGGAGTTGGGTTGTGATGCATCAATTGCATCTCTGTTTTCTCTGATTCCTGAAAAGAAAAAAATATTGTCACTAAACCTGTGATGGGTACAATAATTAATCTAAGTGTATAATAAAAATCAAATTATTAAAAGAATGGAGAGATCTCTTTATCTCCCAAGCACTGAATCCCTTACACTACATGAAATTACACTGGATTAGTTTCAAATCACACTTGCATACCTCTGAGAAAGGAGTCATCTGAGGAGGCGCCTGACTCATCATCACTAGAAGAATGTTGTGGAGACGTTGGTGGAGGCCCTGTTGGACGGTCACCTGAAAGCAAATAATCTTGTTAAATGCACAATTCAAAACAGAAGCAGAGAAAAGGCCCATTAAAATCACATTACATTTCGAAATCTTAAGTCCTTTAACAGGCCTCCCATCATCTTCATCCACTGAAGATTCGCCAAAAACCTTCACGCTATTCCTCTTCCGCTTGGGTGGAAGATTGTCATCGCTGTCCTCATTCAAATCTCCTACATCACTAGTATCCACTAGCTTCTCGGCAAGGCCTTTCGCAGTGGCAAGGCTCTCTAGAAGTAGGAGAAGCAAAACAAATAAGTCAAATAGTTGTACAGATAGTTTTAGATTATTAGGTAAACAATTATATGAACCTAAATTACTTACTACAGAATTTGAAAACTCTGACGTTATGGAATGTCACCCATTCTTTTTTGGGAGTGCGTTTATGAATGAGGTATTCATTCAGATACTTCTCTCGGGCAGGCCATAAGCAAGTTCTTGCCTGGAATTCTTCCTTTCCCTTAGACAGACGAGGCGTCACTCCAGTGAGCCAGCTGATAAGAGCTGGACTAATAACCGGTTTTCGGTCCACATGGAGCTCCACAACGGCGTACTGGAACAACAGAGAGCTTTGAAAAACATGCCTACCAGCAAACAATCAAATGAGCACTTCAAGTGAAAACTAAAGAAATCAAGAGGATTGCAGCTTGCGAGCAACCATATCGATGGATAACTTATAATGGTAATACAAATTCACTCAGAGAAAATGAGAAACAAACAAGCAGCTTTATTGGCTTTGGCAGTTAAACTGTAGTTTCAAGTGAGTGAGGAGCCAAGGAACAGTTCAGTCCGGCGTGCCAGCGTTACAGTAATTTACCATTCTTTCATTAGAACGACGGTAGTTACTTCACCGAAGTATATGAACGCACGTTACGAAGATGAGACTACACAATCCCGACAACACCTCTTTCGCACCTAACCTCACCCGGGACAAGGATACATACCATTAGCATAGAGGATGCTAAATTCACTTCGGAAACAAATCTTTTCAGATAACTAATATCTAAAGTAACAGGGAATAGCTAAGAATCTTTCCGAGAGTAAAATTGGGCAAGTAAGAGCGACGAAGATGAAAGTGAATCGAGACTTCTTGAGTACGTACGGTTTTGCCGTTCGCCTGTGGCGGCAAGTCAGCGTCCGGTGAGCACATTCTTCAAACTTCAAATCACAAGATAATGCGTCACGTCACGTCAAGCTGGAGACACAACAGATAAACAGGTGCACCTGCTGCTCTTCGCTGCTCACGGAAAGATATGATACGAAATTTGGAACATGGGGAGAAGGAAAACAGAATGGATGCTACCAATCTTTACTCAAAAAATAAATAAACAGTTCGAAACTACCCGATTTGCATCTTCAAATTAATAAAATTAAAAGCAGAATTTTACAAGTACTATCTGATGTTTGTTATCATTTTCTCTAGTACTAAGCCAAAACTGTACCGAAAAACTATGTTTTACAATACAAGTTTGGCACGCATTGATGACCCTTCCGTAATAGCCAACCTACACTTAAAATACGATGGAAAGCAACGTTTAATTTTTAGTCAAGCTGAACATATATTTTCGCAGGTAGTCGTAGTGAGTGGTCGGAAGTAATATAAAAGTAAGGAAACGAAAGAAAAAACTGGATTTTGTTAAGTCTTTATAACCCTTCATTTTTATACAATGTTGGCAGAGGTGAGGTTAGGAGGTTAGTTGAGACAGCAGACAGGAGAGGAGAGGTTGAGAAGGCAGAAAGTTGTTATTATTAATAAAAAATTGTCTGTACTGTAGTGTGGAGTGCAGTTAAATGTTTGGCCGTTGTCTTCGTCACTCGCGACTGGGACTCTTTCGTCCAAGCTCCCGGTCTATCACTGGCATGGGTGACGTCATCGTTATCAAGAAAAGACACCGGCTTCTCCCACACATGGAAAGCTTGCCCTGCAACCTATGGTATGTAATTTGCAAATGTCCGTCTGTTCTTGGTTTATGTTGTGATAAGGGCTCACTTCTAGTAGTCTTAACAGTATTGATCTTTGTTTTAGATGTGAGCTTCTCCTGGATTTTTCTTGGGTTGTCAACTGACTTGTGCGCAGATTCATATTTGATGTCTTCTTCGGTAAGCTTCCATATTCTTTATTTGATCATTCCATTTTGAATTTTAAAGTATACCTTCAATGTTGTGACTTTTCTTACCTTACTGTTTCCAGGCTAGAAATGAGTGGAAACGGTGTAAAAGGAAAGTGATGAATGAGTTGTTGCAAGATGATGATGATACAACCTTGCAGACCCTTTCCAAACGTCCAGCTGTTGCAAGCCAGTTACATTTCTCGTCTGCTGCTGATGTCAGACTTTCAGAATCAGATGATCACTTATTAGAATTTTCCAGTACTACTGATAGTGCTTCATCAGTTTGTGCAGCACCTAGCTTGGCTTCTACCCTCCAAAGTAAATGTGATAATAATGAAAGGTTTGATGAACGGTTTGACTTTGACAGTCTTGCTGATACTTTTGACTTTGATCACAATGATGTAGACAACCCATTTCCTAATGAAGACTTAAATAATTTGAGATCATTGTTTGAAGACGATCCTAAAGATACTGAAGACACAGCCTTACGAAGTGATCTTGTTGTGTGGGCTTTAGAGCATAAAATTGGAAGAAATGCATTGACGGACCTTCTCCATATTCTCAGAGCACACAACCACCCCAATCTCCCCCTGTGTTCTAAAACTCTTTTAAAGACCCCACGCAGTACTGTTAAGATGTTCAAAACTCTTGGTGATGGACTGTTCTGGTATTATGGCATTCTTGTCAATTTGGTACCAAGGCTCACTGAAGGATTTTTGGAGAAGTTAAATGGAACAAGTATTGCAATTGACATTTTTATTGATGGTGTCTCCCCCTATAAGAGTGTTAAGAAAGTGTTGTGGCCCATCTGTGCTAGCTTGGCAGGAAGCAAGGACATTTTTATAATTGCCATGTGGTGTGGACGAACTAAGGAGCCGAGTGATCTCTCTTTGTTTTTAGAGGATTTCCTTTCTGAAGCTAAGGAACTAATGTTGGGTTTTACCCATCTTGGTCGTAACTTAAAACTGGTTTTAAGAAACATAATTGCAGATGCTCCGGCTCGAACTTGGCTTAAGAATGTTAATCAACATGGGAGTTATTATGCATGTGAACGATGCACTGCTGTTGGACAGTGGATCGCCAACAGAATGACATACCATCCTCATGAAGAGACCTTACCTCGTACTGATGAGTCACTAAGGAAGCAAACTGATAGGAGGTATCATAAAGGTCCCACTCCCTTAACAGAGCTTGAGAACTTTTCTTTAATCAGCCAAATTCCACTGGAACCCATGCACCTTTTAAATCTTGGTATAATGCGCAGAATTTTAACTGAGCTTTTGGGAACAAAGCGAAATAACTGCCGATTTAAATTCTCTGACTTGTTGAAGTCCGTTGTAGATAATATGTCAGAATACATTGCTCGATTCTACCCATCTGATTTTGCTAGAAGACCTAGAAAGTGGAGTGACTATGCTTTATTTAAGGCTACTGAGCTTAGAAGAATCCTCCTATATGATGGTCTTCTTATACTTAAAGCAAGAGGTGTATCAAAGAAAGTGTATCACAATTACCTTCTTCTATGTTGTGCAATCAGAATTTTATCTGACCCATTACTTGTTAGAGACTTTGCAGATGATGCTGCTGTTTTGTTAAAAAAGTTTGTTTCAGATAGTGTGTTGGTTTATGGACAAAAATTTAATGTTTATAATGTTCATCACCTTGTTCACCTGTCAGAGGAATGCAAACGGCATGGTGACCTGGAATTGTTCAGTGCTTATAAATATGAGAATCATTTAGGTGTTTTGAAAAGGCTGTTGCATGCTCCAGGTCGGACGTTATCTCAGATAGTTTGTCGGCTTCTAGAAGTAGTGAGTAATAGACCACCAAATGCCGAAGAGGTTCAACACGAAGTAATTGTGTCTAGACCATATGAACTACCCGCCTCTTTGAATCATTTAGGTAAAGGATTTAATTCTTTGTCAATTGTTAAAAGCAAAATCACTCTTCTTTGTAACTCTTTCTTTCTTAGTTGTGAAAAAGAAGTAGTTCAGATCTCTAATATTATTAAAACTGATGAAAGTTTCCTTCTTGTTGGCAAAAAATTTAAACACCAGATAGACTATTTCACTCGTCCACTTCCCTCAAGTTGTCTTGATATTTACGAAGTTAGAAAACTAGGTGAGAGAGAATTTTTCACTGTCAATCAAGTGTTAAAGAAGTGTGTTGTTGTTCCCATCCCTACTGAGAACCATTTCCCATCTAGTGTTTCTGATGGGCCATGCCTTGCTATGTCTATGCTCCATGGTGGTGATTAACTCCCTGAAGTACTTCCTACTGGTCTCAACTTTTCCACATACATACTAGTACTGTACATATTTACTGTTATATGCAGATGTTGTATAGACAAACTTTTATCCCATAAGCTAAGGTTTATGAATTCTTAATAGTATCAGTAAGTTATTCTTTTAACGCAGTTTAGCTGGTTTTTATTGGCTACAACCTTAGTGTCTTGTTTAACCTGATGGAATAGACATTTCACATTCGCAGAAATATTAGTGTTACATATTAACGGCTTCCAAACTTTGTAAAACTGCAATGACCGATGTCTTATTTGTTTGACTGGAGCTTTAACTGAAAGTTATTCCTATAACATGACAACCACTCAGTGTAACTTTCTCCCTTTAAAGAAATATTGAAAATACCAGCAGCTGTTTTTGTACTCAAGAGACCAAAGTCTTGTTCGTTTGCTGGAGTTTTTATGCTTTGTCATGTGATATTGAATAAAGAATAATACACAGTTTCGAATATAAGTGACTTTATTTTATCATCAGTTTCTCAAAAACATAAGATCTTCTGTTCCAACCACTGACTTATTGCTGGCGTTTGAACTGTCTGGCACTGCTTGGGTAGTACACACCTGAAATGAAAAAAAAAAAAAAAAAAAAAAAAAAATTGCAATTAGAAAGATTGATGTAAAATTATTTCAAATTAGTATAATTACAACTAATTGACGCGTAATCAGTGTTGTGAAATCTGTAAGAGCTGTCATGCTGCAAACATCTCTCTGTACTTGTATTTGTTCATATCTGGACTTGCCAGCAGTTCTAGCGCGATGCTGGGCGGGGTCGGGGGCAGGGGCGCGCGGTGGGGCAGCAGGAGCAGCAGCGGCCGTGCCGATGTGCGTGGTAGATAGATCCTGCAGGAGGTCCACGCTAGGCGGGCGCAGCCTGACGGCTGGTACTCCAGAACCAGGCCGCCCACCCGCTGCGAAAAATCCGGTAGTGCCGTGCGATGACGGCTTCCGTTGTCATTGATCCACACCTTCACCTCGCCCCTTTTACCGCTCCACTAGATCTGACGCGTACGCGCACGGGCGTGCCCCCCCCCCCCCCCACCACTGCATCCGCTGATGCAGCTGCAGATTGGCGCCTGCGAGCCGCACGGTAGGCACCCACGCAGCACTCGCACGCACTGCAGGCAAGATGTTGCCTACCCAGCAGGCGCTATGAGAGCTTGCACGGGCTGAACTTAGCACTATCGTAATGGCGAATGACGAACGAACTTTCTGGGCGATCCCTAACTACAAGGCGTCCTGGGGATAAGCCACTGCCTATCTAAAAGACGCCGCGGGGAGATGGACACCGAGTGTCGACGTAGATTCGATGTCGCTACCGACTCACCGTGTCTCCCGTGTTGGCCAGATGATGCGCTGGTCGATGCCAACTCGAGCATCCTCGCGAACATCGTCTTCTTCCTCTGCAGCGTGCTAATGATCTTAGCCAGCCGCTCTATTTCCTCCTGCAATAATCGGGAATTTATTTATAAAAGAAATGAAACACTGAACATCATATGCGGTTGAATTAATAATTCAGTTTTCTTTAATTTAGGGCAGTTACTTGCCTCCAGAAAACTGCAGCAGGCCCAATCGAGCTCCGTGTTACTCGCCATGGTCTTTGGTTCTAACCTTTCTCTAACAAATTTGTCGTTGCTTTTTAGCGTCATAGCAACCGCGTTCCTCTTTTGGTCACTTTGAGGATGATCGACAGAGAATCGACGTGGAATCTTTGTAACACATCGGCGTCGGAATCTAATTGTTGCGAGGATAGCGCATGCGCTTTGACCGCAGTGAGCACCAGGTGGCTGATTAACCCCGCTCACTTGTCCACGGCGCCTCACAAACCTAGGGAGTAGGCAACGCGCCATCACGTAGGAATGCGGTACCGCGCATAACTATCAGAAGTGAGCGGGGTTAATCGGCTTAATCAGCCACATCGCACAAGATGTCGATTGTTAACGTGAAGTTTGAAAAACGACGTTTCAATCCTTTTCACAACGTTTTTTAGAAGGGCGGAAGGGAAGGGACTTTGGCATGTTGTTTCCCCGTGGACTCCACGACAACTGTCCACGTTGACCAATCCACCAACAGTCCACCATCGTCATGTGTGAATATCGTCGACGTGTCGGATGGGCATAGCGGGTCCCCGTCGACGGATGATCGACAAAACTACATTGTTACAGTGCCGTGCAAACCACATCGATATTCCCGTTCTCCGACAATGTTGATTACGACCTTCTGTATCCACATAGATACGAAGTCGACGTGTATATGTGTCTGCATCCACGTATTTTCAACCTCGACGGACCGAGGATACATCTACATCGATCATCAGCAATGTTTCGCGATCGAATCCACGTAGATGGCAGAGGGATTAATCCTCATCCACGTGGTCCACGTAGATTCCGTGGATTCGAGGTGGATGCAACGTGACGTTCCCATGGGGTGATGACCTAAAACATAAGTGACTGCGTTAGTCGATTAGGCACTATACCAGGTTTAAAGTGTTCGAAAAGAGAATGGGCTGCCTCGCCTGTAAGTACTTTGTGATTGCGAAGTAAATTACATAGGATCAAAATACCAGTTGCTATGAAGGATTTTAACAGTGTGGTATTTTTTTTTTTTTTTAATTCAGACCTTAAATTTGGTTTGTCGCTACTTTTCTGTGTTTTAGCCCTTGTAGCACTATCGTTCTTAAAACGTTTACGGAACCTTCAGAGAACCAAAAGAACGTTCTCAGAACGTTGTCTGAATGTTTAGTGCTACAGGGGAGGAGCCCATTTTCTTTCTATTAACAGCGGCTCGGAGATCAGCGGTAGAAATCGCGTGTCCGGCTATCGCCATGAAAATTCTAGCGCGGGATTTTGTTCCGCTGTGGGACTATATGAACGGCCTGCCGCCGAAAATTCAAGCCCAATTTGATATTTGGATTGGATAAGTGGTCAAATTTTTCAAGAAATTACCATGATTTGTCGACTCTTTTTTCCTTTGAACAACCCCAAAATCATCATTAGTTCTTGCTATAAGTAATTTCTGGAGATAATGGATTTTCCCCGTAGACACAAGTATCAAATTGGACAGGAGTTTTCTTAGAAACCGGTAAGTATGCGGTCAGCCTTCAAAACCACCAAGGTAGAGCAAAATCGGTGACAGAGAATCGTAAGTCCTCTCATATAAGCAGGCGCAAGGTTAATTGGTAACGGTTTTAACGACTCCAGGACGAGTAAAGTAAAAATATGATGCGTTCATCGGTAGCCATCAAGGGACACTTCTCGCCCTGACCAGCTTCTGCACTCACCTGCTACTCCTCGCGCTTCCTGTAGTGCTCCTTGTAGCGGCGCAAGGCCTCCTCCCGCCGCCGCTCTTCCTGTCTCCTCTGCAGCTCCTCGCGCTCCCGGCGCTCCCGCTGCTCCCGCTCCCTGTCACCGTCGCGGTTGCCGTTCATGTCTGCGACTTAAGAGCAGGTCCTTGCGCTTTTGGTGGACGCTTGGAGCAGAATGGTGGTTGCCACTGTCTTGCGCAGGTTTATAAAGGACTCCGTGACAAGAGCTGCTCAAGGTGCAACACCCTCTGAAAGCGTCCAGCCAGACCTTTCCAGCCGGGCCACCACAGCCGGGCAGGCCCAACGGTTCCCACCCTGCGTGGACATCCCCGTCAGGAATCACCATAGAGGCGACTTACAAGAGGCATCCTGATAAGTCGGCCGACTGTGCAGTACAGTACCGAATGGGTGTGGCAAGCCCAGCGCTGCTGTACCAAACCCGCGCGACGGGTGTGAGTACGCGCCGCTACACGGTGAAAACAACGTGTGATTTTTTTGACCAGAAGGGGAAAACTTCGAGTAACTCCCCATGTTTTGAAAGGAAGTCTTTTAGTTTTGAGGAGTTATCCTAAAAAGAACCTCCATTTCTTTTACCGTGTAGCCTACACTGCATTGCAAAAAGGAGACCGACAACCATTCTCCTTTCCGGCTAGGGGTGAGCCAAAACGACATCAAAATGTCAACATTTTTAGAATCTTACGGAAATGTGTCAAAAAATCTCAATTTCAAATATGTGATTTGAACATCATAAACATATATCAGAAAATAGTTTGGATATCAACCCAATGAGGGTTGCACTATTGACTCCACTAACTTGTCTCAATTGTTAGTCGAATTCCAAAGACAGTTAACTCACCGTTTCCTTCAATACAGTCATTAGCTCTAATTTCGTCTGTTTCGGACCTATCGAATGACTCCCGTGTCGAATTTGTAGCCCAACATGGTCAGCCAGTTGTAGCCGGTTAAGTACTGTCAGAATGCGGGACTGACAAGGAAACCTGGCCAAGTGTAAATTGGCTCGTTTTACGAGGACTGTTGTAATTTATTGATTGTATAGTATTTTGACACAGCTGTGAAATAATTGTGGCACTGTAAAATTACAGCAGGGTTGTCAAGTTATCCTGATTGTTACAAATCCACAGGTTTTCGTGGGTTACTGCTTTGCATAGAGAAGTCCGGGCTTAAATTTGTAGACAGAATCAAAAAAAAGTCCTGAAATGAGGAAAAAACTCACGATAAATTCGTGCGGAACACCCAAATTGTCACACTGAAACGGGAAAAAAATCATAATCTCAGAAATATTTATGTGACGGATTCTACAACCGATGTTGTAGTCTGACAGTTTTTCTGTAATTTTACAGCGCTACCTTAAAAACGTAAAAAAAGTGTCAATGTATTTTGGGTTCTATGACCTTTGTTTGTAATTTTACAACTGAGCCGTGAAAATAGTTTACGTCATCACCTGCCCAAACATTTCCTGTAAAGTTACAGAAATTTCTATAACAGTGCGGTTGTAAAGAGCAGTCCCACGAAAATGTTGGGAAATTTTCAAATCCTTCCAAATATCTTAAGATTGAAATCCCTGTTCGAAGTTATGCACCCCTCGGGCCTAGGCCACCAACACCAACGCGGCGTGTCGTTTAGTGGCACGGCCCTGCGCGGCATGGCTCCAACGTCGGAGGCAAATTCGTTTTAAGTGATGAATAGAACAAACGTGTTGCTGTGGATTGCACTGTCTCAATTTCGGTCAACTTTCGGGGGCCTCCTCAACTCCCGCAATCCGGTGTACACCCATCCCGGCAATCTACGATAATCTTCGGCAATCTCTAGGTAATCGGCTGCAAAGGCCATCCTTTTTGAATACATTCAGGGCGACATTAGTGCGCTTTGCCTAGTTACAGGCGGTTTTTGCCCTTAAAGCTAAATATTCGTCAAGCAATCTGGCAATCATGGCAATCTGGTGAACATACTACAAGAGAGTTGAGGCCCCCTCGGGTTTTATAATAACTTAACGTAAATGCACTCTCGTGACAGGAGTGTGCTCATGCTTCCTCTACGCCCACCCTATCTCAAATTACATTTTTACGCGCGTAGGATAGTACACTTACTGAAAACTTGATTTAAAGTTAAAGAGAAAAGTTAGTCAAAATTGTAGCACTTACATAAATCGTCCCATAAAAAATTAGCGGTATGGCTCAGGAAACTTTTTAACGCAATTTTGTAGGCGAAGGACCAAAGATTCATTGTTAAAACTGACAGCCCGCGGGTAGCTCTCACGCAGAAAAATAATTCGTGGCTCTGCTAAGGTTTTAGCACTGGGGCTAAAAAATTAACTGAATAGACTGGGCTTATTTATTTAGAACCAGGGTTAATTTTTTTGCCACCCAGTAAACCGCACCGTTTATTACCTGTGTAGCTAATGCCATTTAGCTCTACAGCTAAATAATTTTACATCCAGCTATTTTTTTTTGCACGGGTGTAAAATTGTGCAGTTAAACCGATTTGCACGGAACTGAATATTATTTTTCTGCGTGCTCGTGTGCATGAGCCCCAGACTTCCGGACAGCCTACTTAAAAATGACGCGACTTCCGTTTCGCAAATTTTTACATTAAAAGCTTTGTGGCTGTTACGGGGATAAGGTCACCGATACCAACGGGATGAATTCTTGTCAAGTAGACTCTTCCTATTCCAATGCCATTTTCCGATTTTGATCATCTCAAAAACTGGCTGAGATTATAAAATGATTTTACTTATTTTGTCCGAAATTACGGCCTATCACTGTATGTACGTAATGTCCTTTGCAATCGTTTGCGGTGCGGGCGCCTTTCCAACCCCCGCTTCTGTTCTATTTACGTCACTGCACACTTTTGGGAAGTACCTTATTTTTACCGTGTTTGCTTCCTTTTTCAAATTGTAAGCGTAAAATACTTTGGCTACTATGGTTGGATAACAATGCGCAAACTTCCTGTTTGTTTCGTGCTGCCAGTGTGTAGGATAGCAGTTTTCGGCCAACGCATTGTTGGCGGATCACGCAACTGTGGTTTATATAATGCCCTTGTCAACCTCGTCGCGCAACACAATTCACAGTTAAGCAACTGGCTCAATCTGGTATGGCCGTACACAAATCGAGCAATTAACTCTGACACGGTTCAAACTGTGGTAGTACTAACACGGACTGGGAGTAGCTGTTTTAAAGGTAAATTAAAATTGCTGCCGCATTAGAATGCAATTAGGGTGGGGTGAAAATGTGGTTTCGAAACATTCAAGGTAAAGACCGAAAGTTTACTTATCGCTCTTTTGCTTGCACTACCGGTTGTCTCACGGCACATCCGGTCAACCCATACATTAGATGCATTTTGACGAGACAAAACGGTTTCATTTTTTCTGAGACAATTATTTTCCGAGATAGAGCTAAAGAAAGAACGTGGTTTTTAGCACCGCAAATGTCTCGTAGAAGTGTGGAAGATGTCATCGGACAGCCAGGAGGGCTAACTGCTAGCAGTGCTGAGCGTTGTAGAAAGTTTGAGATAAACCGCAGTGAGTGCACACATGACACTGAAAATCTGAAAGTTTATGAAATTTGGCTCGGGATAGGCTGTGTCCCCGGGAGCGCGTAAAGGTGTAAACATTTATAAAATGTTTATAAACTTGAGCTGGGGTTAGGGGCCGATCGGTAGGCTCAGCTTTATAATCGTTATTTTTAGTAGGTGCCGGTTCGACAACAAATACCTATAAAGCACTTCGCCAATGAGTCTCTTACCTTTTTGTTGAAGGCCTGATGTGGGTCGGGCATTATTTTGTCTGAAATACTGAAAGCAATACTGCGACAGGGTCTTCTCAGCGCTCGCCAATAGTTTTGGTTATTCATGAGATAAAAGACGTGAAATAGGTGAGATCTTGTTAAATTCCAGATGCTTGTGACCTGCGGCAACGTACTGTAAACTTTCCTAAATGATTCTTGCATGGCAAAGTATTTTAAACCTAGCTAATCTGCAGTGAGGAGCACTGAGCGTTGGTTTGAACGGCCGGTTCCCGCCGTCCGGGCGGCGACTTCCGGGGCTCGCGCATAGGCCGCGCTCTCAGCACTGCGTTGCGACCCCCTGGGAAAGCGTATCGACTCCTACGGTATCTTCAGAAATAAATCCCGCATACAGCCGTTTTCGGAATTATTATGGGGAGCCCAGGGGGCGGAAAGTGTCAATTTCCCCTAAAGACCGAACTTTGACCCCTCGGAAGGAGGGGTTGAAGATCATCCGATGGGCCAATATGGACTCTGCCGCTAGTCATCGGATAACTTAAAGTACTATATTACAGGTGTACTTTTTCGATTCCAGATTTTCACTCCACCCAGATGCAATTGGATAGAATCATTTTGTTTACTACAACAAGTTATAAGCAGAATACGTAAAAGGTTAAAAGTCAAGAATACAGTAACCACGTTACTGAAAGCATGGAAGAAAAAAGAACAAAGAAAACGAACCCCGTAATAATTCGTCAAATCAATTACATTCATTTCCTCCCATTTCACTGATAACCTGCGACGCACCTGTGCTTAGTTATTTCTAGTTTAATGATCATGAATGGTTTCTTCGCCTGGATTTCTTTTTGCACAAATGGCTGCAATCAAAGGGTAGATAACTCCTAAATTGAAATTGAATGGGACTGATTTCGCTGAATTCTTTTCGAATTGGTTTGAAATATTGCGATTTCAGTTTGCTGAAATAGAGTGAATTGGCTAGGATTGGCTTAGATAGAATGCAAATTCAATTGAATTGGACTGAATTGATTCAAACATTCTGGAATTGGTTTGAAGTAGTTAGAATTGGGCAGATTTAGGGATGTGCGCGTAGATGGGGAGTTATCCACCAGTCTGCTGCAATGTGTACATAGAGGCTGATCAGAGTAAAGTGATTGATTTTTAGAAGTCATTTCTATGTGGTCTGGAATCTTACAGATAACTCTTAGAGCTCTCGTTTGTTTTTTTAGCTATTGGCTGAGTGGTAAGCGAAGACCATAACTCCACTGACCAAAAAAGTTCCCTTCTGTTTCTCTGTCTGTCTGTATGCACGCGAGCTCAAGAAGGAATAGAGTTAGCGTTCTGAAATTTTAAGGGTAGTTTTTATCATGAAAAGACAGGCCGAGTTTGAAGATACGCATTCTTGCTCAAAAATTGAATTTTTTTAAAAATCAAAAATCTAGGCTTGCGGCGCTGACACTCGAGACAAGTTAACAGGAGTGTATACGTAAATAGGGCCATTCAGGCCCTTAATTTGCCATGCTTACAGCATTTGTCGGGGACAACTCTAAAATTAGGGATCTGAAACTTCTGATATTCGATAAGGGTATTCATTAAAAAGTGATAATTTTAACAGATTGTTGTGTAAAAATCAACGTGGTTATAGTAGATAATCTAAGGACCCTTGATCAGTTCACCCGACGCTTACTGAATGAACATGAGATGGAACTGAATCAGCCAAAGACCAGTAAAACTCAGATTCACTCAGTACCCTAAATCTACTGCGGGAAGCTGTACAGTTACTGAGTCACGCTCAGTTTCTCCATTCGGTTAGCGTCAGTCGCAGTCGGTCGCTGTTCAGCTTCTGCTCTGACTGCCTTTGGCTGGACGTCAGCTGAATGGACCTCAGTAGGCACGACACTCAGTAAACAGCAGTTAGATTCAGTACAGATGATCACTGCCGTTACCTGATCGCGTGGACTGAATCGATATCAGCTCCCCGAATCAGGTGTTAGTCAGTTCTACTCAGTAACAAAAATGTACTGCGGAAAGCTGTACCGTTGCTTAGTCACGCTGAGTTTCTCAATTCAGCCAGCGTCAGGTCCGCTCAGTACTATATCAGTTACCCGATCAGTTACTATCAGTTAGCTCAGGAAATCGTCAGCGCGACGGAGCTGACGTTCAGTCTTATTTCACTTACTAGTTCAGTTACTCTCAGTTTTGTCAGTATTTCTACGCGTGAGCGTAGAGACGTCAGTCCCAGGTCGGCTTCGAGTTTGGTAAAGTCAGTTGATAGTCAGTTTGATCAGCTTCGGAACAGCTTAAAGTAGTTTAGTTTCAGTTATCGTCAGCTCCACGCAGCTGTACATCAGTAAAATATCAGTTAACCGCAACCTCGGATCAGCTCATTTTTAGCCCGCCCTTCTGCTTTGAAAAAGCTATCCAGCGGGCTTATGCAAACGACCTCGTGTGTGTCTGTCTGTCTGTGTGGCTGTGTGTCTGTCTGTCTGTCTGT